AAACACCTTCAGCAAATGCAAAGAAAAGCGAACATCCTTAACAGTAGCTTTCCAATAAATAAATGACAAAAGGACTGAGAGATAAATCAGAAACACAATATCTTTAACAATAGCCTCAAAAGTTTTTTGTGGGGGGTAACTAACCAAACATATGGTAGATTTGTATAATAAAAACTTTAAGACATTAAAGAAAGAAGTGGAAAGACTAGAATGGGAAAATCAAATGTGGGGAAGGGAAGAGGGGGGAAGGAAGGAGATGGAAGAGGGACAACTACACTAAGGACCATTTGAGGTGCTGTATGAAAAACTACTACAGTAGAGGCTTTTAAACACCTGTTTATGAATGAAATCTAAATGATGTCACCATGTAGCAGGGGAGACAAAGCCCCAACGAGACATTTCTTGCAGCCAAATGAAACCTTTGCTGGAAATGGTTGCATCTAATTGAGTTATTGGCTAAGGGAACCTATGGAAATCCTCAAACTACCAATGTGATTTCTAACGCTGTTGATTTTTCTCCACAAACTGATGGTGAGGCCCTGTTGCTGAAGGCAGCAACTACATAACTCATTGTACAGAGAAATTGAGCTGGTGCCTACCTAGAACCTTCACCCCTATGGACTAGAGTTCATCGTACTGGAAAGTAACTGTATATTACCAGAGGGAAAGATAACACACAGCCCAGCTACAAACGTTCAGTCTACAGCAGTGTCCTGCCTGTAGGATGTGCTGGTGCAGTGGTGTGGCGGACAAGTTGTGGAAGTAACAACCACAATGGATTGAAGTCCTTTTTCATGAGATGGAGACCATGCTGACACTGCCCAAGAACCTGAGACTACATAGGTTCTAGACCCAAGGGGGTACCAGATACCACTGTCTGCTAAAGGAATGTAGCAATAAAATGACTGCTAATGACATTCTGCTATACCCAAGCTTTCTCTTGTGGTTGATGGAGACAAATTCAGAGACCTACAACTGGACAGTGTGTATAAAGTGAGAGACTTTGAACATGTTGTCCTAAATGGGATGTCTTTGTCAAATACTTCCCTTCAGGTCTCATGAAACTTGATGGAAGAATAGGCAGAAAGATTTTAAGAATCAGTGGGGATGGGAAATACCAAGGAAACAAGGCCTTCTAGACACAGCAGGATTGACACACATATGAACTCAGACCATGGCAGCAGCTACAGGGCCTGCATTGGTTTAAGTCAGATGGGGTTCTCAGTACTGAGAGTGTAAGTGGACAGAAGTTCCCATTCCTAACACAGAAAGCCATCTCCAGTTGTTAACTGCTTGCAAAGGAAAAATTGGTTTTCTCCAATGGAGTTCCTCTGGGTATGCAAATCAAACTTAAGGGCAGGCCCCGTGTCTAGCAACAGATAGCCAACACAAAACAAACACAATGGTATTTAACTTAATGCTTTGCCTAGTGCCCCCCAGATTTTTTGCTTATATTCTGTCATTTCCTATTTTGTGTTTTAATGGAATGTCTGTGTGTGTGAATGGGAATGTCCCTGCACCTGTGTTTCTTGCGCTATTTCTTTGGTTTTGTTTTGTTGTATTCTGATTTGTTTTTTTAGAAAATTTTTTTAGATGCCTGTCTTCCTTCCTTCCTTCCTTCCTTCCTTCCTTCCTTCCTTCCGTGTGTGTTTGCGTGTGTGTGTGTGTGTGTGTGTGTGTGTGTGTGTGTGTTTTGAGACAGGGTCTCTATATATCTTTGGGTGTCCTGGAACTCACTGTGCAGACCAGGCTGCTCTGGAACTCAAGCGATCTACTTGCCTCAGCCTCCAGAGTACTTAGTTTACTACCTCTTGGTTACTGATATCCTAAAAAAGGATCACATGATTCCTTGGAGAAATGTTCCAAGGAGTTTAAGGGTTGGCAAGGTAGTGCAGATTTTACCCCTAGCCTGTTAGGAACCATGAGGAAGGAAAGAGACAACGCTTACAGGTTCCAAAGATTTGAATAATTCACCAAATAAGCAGGTCTCTGATTGATTAGAGCTGCAGGACAAGTATTCGGGAGCCTTGTTCTCCTGACAGCACCACGCAGGAGCAAAAATAGGGCTTATAAGCACAAAAATTACAAGCATTAACAAATGCTAAGGTACAGTTACAATTTTCACCAATCAGTCAAAGCTTAGGAACTTTGCTTATATGAACTGATTGATATACAATGCAAGCCTTTCAGTTCAGCCAATCAGTTTCATTTGTTCTCTGTGTTGTCAGGAGCAGCCATGGTGTTTCTAAAGAACTAAAGATGCGTAACGACTATTTCTAGAAAGTTTAGGGGAGGAGGTTGATTGGCAATTGGAAAGTTCTCCACTTTTATGAAACAAAAACTACCACGGGAGCACTAGATGAGACAGTTCCAGAAAATATGCTTGTCAGCTACTTCCACTTGGGAGAGGAAGAGTAATTAAATGACATCTTTATAAACTGAGTCCAAGAATTAAAAGGGTAGTTTCACATTGAAAAGTGGGTTGTTTCACATTTGCAGAAGAAGGTGGAAGGTTGATACAAAAGGTACACGATTTAGTGAATTAAACATCATAATTGAAAAGAAATGTAACAATTTAGATATAGAAAGGTGGTTTGTCCAGTGTGGTGGCACACACCTTTATTCTAGTGTCCGAAGGCAGAGGGAGGCACATCAGAGTCTCAGGCTGGATTGATAGGGATAGCAAATTTCAGGCCAGTGAGGACTACCTAGCGAGGCACTGTCTATCCAAATGAAAAGTATAGGAAGCTTTTCCCTAAGTACATAAGGGTGCACCTACGAAAGCAGACATGTTATTTATGATGAAAAGTGCTATTCTGTGACAGGGATCTATTTTTATCCTGGAATAGTAGGAGTGATAAATGGAGTAAGATTCCTGAGAGATTTGGGCGCTTAACTTCTCAGGTGCTGAGAAGCTGAAGTGAACCAGGATGAAGATAGAAGGGATCAGGGTTAGAATAGTTTGGGGAAACACCATGACCAAAGCAACTTGGGGGAAAGAGGGTTTATTTCATCTTCTAGCTTGTAGTCAGTCATGTAGGCAAGTTGGCAGGAACTGAAGTGGAGGCCATGGAGGAGGGCTGATAATTACTGGCTTGCCCCTTGTGCTTGTTCCTCCTGCTTTCTTAGAGCACCTAGACTACCAGCTGAGGGTAGCGTTGCTAGCAGTGACTCTCCCATATCAACCATCAATCAAGACAATGCCTCTCACTTGCCTCCAGACAGATCTTATGGGGGTATTTTCTTAACTGAGAGTCCATCTATCTTGTGTCAAGTTGACAAAAGGGGAAAAAAAAACTAGCCAGGATGATAGTTGTGCTGAAAGTTAATTTATTTAAACTTGTAAATGGAATTAATTTTAGTTTTTGGGAAGCAATTTCAGGTTTGTAGTTTGAAACTTAAAATTGCAAGAAATACAAAATATAAAAACCACTGTACATGCTTGTGGCACATAGCTTCCTTGGATTGTTAGCACTTTTCCATGTTTGCTTTCTTTTATTTATATATTAGATACACATGTATTTTTCTTTGAACAAGCTATAAATAATGGCAGGATTTTCTATTACCTTTAGTATCCATAGAAAGAGACTTTTCTGTGTAATAGTACATTTATCAGGTTAACATAGGATTACATCTTCTAATCAGTAGAGTCGACTCAGAATTTGCAAATTGTAAGTCAAAGAGCCTGTCCAAGATCACATACTGCGTTTCTTGAAGGACTGGTCCCCAGTCTTTCTCATCTTTAGTGACTTCATCTTAGAAGCATGCAGGCTTTATTATTGTTATTATTAAATGGTAGTTTAGGGTTTTTCTGGTTTTTCTAAAGTTATTTAGTTTGATTAGGAATAATGCCAAGGGGATAATTGTTTTTTTTTCTTTTTCCCTGCATCAGACCAGGGAGCACACAGAGTTAATTTGTCCTTTACTGTTGGTAGCACGTTTTGTCATTTGGCCAAAAATACCATCTGAGATCTGCATGTATGGCTTAGTCGTAGAGTGCTTGCCCAGCATGTACAAAGCCCCAGGTTCTGTCCATAGTAACTGCCTCACACCACCAAATAAACATAACAGAACAAAAAAACCAGAGAGCGCCACCCACCGTTGTTTTCACTATACCTTCATATATATCCATCAGGGGCTTTGCCATCTGTGAGGTACTGTAGTTTAAAAGGTAGCTACTGTTGGTTATTTGTGTAGTTACTAAGGAAGAATGATGACTATATAGACGTCATTGTGTTTGCATGTGCTGGCTTGTACATAGAACAGAAGTTAGTGTTATGCACGTGTGTATGTAGTTTTCATTTTCTATTCTGAATGTTGCCATGAATATTAAGGATATTTAAATAACTTTTCTTCAGAATCGAAAAGATCCACAAATATTGGGTACCAGAAGTTTATTCAAATTTTAAGTTAAAAATTTGTTGCTGTTAAATAATACTTGAAATGGCATAGTTAACATTCTGAACAATTTGGGTGTCATGAAATGTAGGATAGGAGTAACTCTTGTTTGTAAAATTTAGGTAGCAAGGGTTTAATCTGGACTGGCAAGATGGTCAGTCAGTCAAAGTACCTGCAGCACAAGCCTGACCACCTTCATTCAATTCCTGGTATCCATAAGAGCAGAAGAGAAAACTGAATCCCAAAAGTGTTTCTCTGACCTCTTCCATACATGGCACTGTGGCTAATTCATACGACATTTAATAATTTCTTATGCCCCCCAACTTGCAACTAGGCATTAATACTTATCCTAAGATCTTCTTAATAAATTGCTTCAGGCAGCTGTTAGCAGTAGGTAGATGAAAACTGCTTGATGCATAGTTCTGTACCTCAAGTACCCTTAGAGTGTTGGTCAGAACACTTGGTGCTTGAAGAGCTGGGGATGGAGATGGCACAGAAACAGTGGAATTAAACAAGTTCATTGTTAATTAATTCAGCACCAAATACAATTTTATTAACAACAGCCTTCATGAGCTCTTAAACATTTATCTATTACCTTTCAGAACAAAAGAGATGAACACTTACTGAAAAAGAGAAATGTTCCCCAGGAAGAAAGCTTAGAAGATTCAGATGTCGATGCTGATTTTAAAGCAGTAAGTCTTGCCCTTGTTTTTATAATGTGTCTGTAAATACTTTCGTCATGACCAGGGGATGTTATTTTCAAATTTAACAAAAATCAGATAGTGATAATTACAAGGCATAGTAATTCATAACCTGATAGACTAATAAATAGTTTTGTTAATATTCTCTGCTGAACTATCTTTCTTTCTTTTTAAGCAAAATGTAACACTAGAAGCTATATTGCAGGTAAGTTATTAATTTAATACTACCATCCTGAAATGGTTTTAAATAAGTTTTTTTTTATAAATGTCTGAAATATACACTTGTTGTTGCAGAATGCTACAAGTGATAACCCTGTAGTCCAGTTGAGTGCTGTCCAGGCAGCAAGGTAAGAGCTGATCCGCACCTTATGGTGTTGGAGCTGACTGTGCAGAAGTGGGGAAGTAGAGTATATTTATATTCATAGTTTGAGAGCTACAACAAATATTAATCTTATGTTTCTTTTTATAGGAAACTATTATCCAGTGACAGAAATCCACCAATTGATGACCTAATAAAATCTGGGATTTTACCAATTCTAGTCAAATGTCTAGAAAGGGATGATAAGTAAGTCTGGATTTGCCTGCTCACTTTTTCCAGTTAATTTAAATTTAAAATTGGTATTTTACTAAATGGTTTGGTGGTGGTTTGCTCTCACCGAGCTTGGATTTGTTTTGTTTTGAGGTACTGTAGAAAAAACTCAAGCCTTGAGCAGGTGCTATATATTCTTTATATATATATAGCAGGTGCTATACTCTTTAAATTGTCATACATTTCTATGTAATTTTCTTATTCTCTGATGGTATTTAAACATCACAAATTGTATTTGAGGCACCATTTGCTTATGATTCTATATATAGATTAGCCTCATGACTAGTCAGCATGAATGATGTCCAGAACCATGTGGCTCTTCCTTACCCTGGGAATAGACCCGCAGATCACCGATCCTCTGGGTAGTACACTCCAGCCATGGTTAGTTGTCCCGTATCATGCGAGGGAGTGCTGCTTACCCTGAAGAGAAGGGAGGGCAGTCCATTTGTACATAGACATTTCTCAGGGCTGTGCATTAAGCTCCTTCAGTTTGAATTAACTTGGTTTGAACCCCATAATTCTTTAAAACAAATACTATTTTTGCATCTAGAACATATGGCCTGAAAAAGTTTTTTTGCTAAATATCCAAGAAAGTTTTAGTTGATTAAATAAAAATAAAAGTGCTGCCGATAAGGACTTTTTGTATTTGTTAGTTGTATTCAACTAACTCAGGCAAACAATACTGCAAACACCTTATGCTTCCACAGTAGCTGCAATCCTCCCTCTACCTCTAGGCCTTAACTGTGTCTGTTAATGCGTTGAAGATAACCTCAGCAAACATTAAAATGCAATGATGGTGCTATAGGGAATGAAAACAAAGCCACTTCCTTTTAGATTAACTTGACAAAGAGTAAGCCCAAATTTCTATTTCCAATATTCTTCCTGTGTCTTTCATCTATCTGTATACTGTGGTTGCTGGCCCATCTGTAATCTACCTCTTATATGGGTCTGATTTGTCCCTGTTGCCTGTCTGATCTATATGTGTCTGAATATGCCCCTATCCTTGTGTCTGTTCCTAACAAATGACTTTTGCTCTGTATTGGTCAGCACAGAAAACAGGTCGTTGAGAAAGGGATGGGGAATTCAACTAACTCAGGCAAACAATACTGCAAACACATGATCAAGCTATATCCACAAATTGTTTTCAACATTTATGGTGGATATTTGTCATATAAGGTTGCTTCTAAATCTGTCTGGTGTTTTCAGCAAGTGATACCACACACACACACACACACACACACACACACACACACACAATTCTGGGTCAGGAGCATGGAGGAATACTAAGATTAAAGCTATGCATTAGCTTAAGTTGTAAAAGTTGCTGATTGCATGAACAATCCAAGGCCTAGTAAGGCTGGTTACATTGTTCTCTTAAAGGCAAATTAAATTTAAAGACGCAGAACTCCTAAAAGGGTAGCTGGTTAAGTACACCGTCTTAAGTGATCTCAGGGGGGATTATCAATTGAGCTGTGAGGTCTGGAAAGTCTCAGTCTCTTTGGGATTAAGAGATACTTTGATTAAGATGTGTCACTATACTTAACACCTTAAAAAAACTGCCGTATATTTTCCATAGCAGAAAGTAAAGATAACTTTTATTCCAGCTGTTTAAAAGATTAAATTCCATCTTACATCTGCCAGCAAGGCTCCTTTTTTGTTCTTGGTTCCTGGCTCTGGTCCTTCCATTCCTGTCTATTTGATATAGCCTTTGGCATAGGTTTGTGGGAGTGTGTCTAGGAAACAAATTAACAAAAAATAGGACAAAATATAAACAACTTAATGAATAATTTCAGAGCCATCGCCCAAGTCATGAATAGAAAATTGCCAGTGCTTTTAGATAATGACTTTATGGTTTCTCATGGAAAGCTGTGTTACAGTGTAAAAGGCATGTTAGACGTCAGAGCCATAGAGATCCTGGTCTAAATCTAGACTTGTTGTTGACCAGAATCCAACTGACTTTTGAGCCTCAGTCATCCCATCTGTAAAAATTAGGTGGCTGTGAGAAAATGTACACAATTTAAACAAAATATTCTACATTGTTTATTTGCTTCATTCAGCTGTTTTTATATCTTTTCTCTCTCTTCTTTTTTCCCATATGACCCTTTAGAAGACTTTCCTTGGCCTTGAAATTTTACTTTTTGTATCTTCCCATTTTCCATTCATGGCCCCCGTTTCCAGTGTTTCCTAAGTTCTCCACAGGAGTTGGCTAATTCCTCCCATTCTAGTTAGGGAAGTCTAGATTGTTGCTTCCTGTTAAAGCATCCTGTTAATGTCCACTCCCCAGTCTGCCTTTCCTACCTTCTCATTCCCTGCTTTCTGCCAGAATTGATCCGGTCAGCTCCGTCTGCTCCGTTTTCTACTTGCTCTTTATGGCACGTAACAGGTATTTTCCATCTGCACTGCTGCTAAAGCTGATCATTTGTTTTCCTTACTTCCATGTTTGTATAGAGATTTTTCTTCTCATTCCCTAGTTTTGAGCTCATTTCTTTTTTATTTTATATTTTTGGCTATATGTCTTCCTATTCCACTGTTTCTGACATTATATTCTTCTATCTTTGTTACTTCTTTTTAACAGACCTCTCCTGTAGAAGCCTTTAACCTCTTTTATCCATTTTACATGCTGTTGACTCTGACTCTGACCCCCATCCTCCTATGCCCCTACTGGATCCTTATACCAGGCAGGCAGTACTCTGCCACTGGACTGTATCTCTAGCTGTTGCTTCTGTTTTTACTTTTGAGTTGTAGTTTTGTTCATTGACCTGGGCAGGCCATTTTGAATTTCTCTGTAGCTCAGGCAGTCCATGAACTTATCATTCTCCCCCTGCCCCTCTCTTGCTTGTATCTAAAATTGCACCTGTTTTTATTTTTTTCCATTACTTTCCTTTCTTCTGATTGTCAGTCTCTCTCTCTCTCCTTCTCTCTCTCTCTCTCTCTGTCTCTCTCTCTGTCTCTCTCTCTGTCTCTCTCTCTCTGTCTCTCTCTCTCTTTCCTTTCTTTCTACAGGGTCTTCATTGTGTAGCCCTGGCTCACTTGGAGCTTACTATGTGGCTAGCTTCCAATTCACAAAGTTACACTTGTCTCCCAAATGCTGGGATTAAAGGTGTGTGTCACTATGCCTGGCTTTACTCTTCTCAGCAGAATAAATTTCAAGTTGTGAACCCTAGAACATTTGAGATAGTCACCATATCCCACCATCATTTACGTGATCACAGTTTTATTTTTGTTCATCCTTAACTTCAGCTTTTTAGCCCCATTTCTTGTTGTCCATACATATCATCCCACCCATGATACCCTTTTTAGCATAGAGTGTCAGTGCCTGCCAATTAAATTAAAATTTAGAACAGTGAACTTGATTTTTACTTTGTTAGCTCTTCCATGACTGTCTCAGATCATAATGCTTTAGCTGTAGAACTAACTATACAGGCTTTAATAACTACAGTTAGTAATGTAACCCAAATGATAGTGTACTCAGGTGAGGGTCCCAGTTGTGAGTAGTCTGGAGGGCGCAGCTGGTATTGACCTGATGCGAGAACTTTGGCTAGTACAGTGATAGTGGGTTACTCTCTAAGGCTAGGAATGTTGAGGAAGAGTCATGAGACATAATTGGCTAAGTATTGCAACCATCAGTGGACATAAAGAAGGCAGGTTTGTAGTAACTGAGAAGCAGTCAGATGCTTAGGTAGAGGTGGCAGCCAGTGGTGAATATAACAAGTGAAATTGAAAGATCAGGTATGGTGCTTGTGTGGATTTGAGGCTTATAAGTTACGGTGATAGTTCCATGTCTAAAAGGATTATTTTGTTTTTTAACAGTCCTTCATTACAGTTTGAAGCTGCTTGGGCACTAACTAATATAGCATCAGGAACCTCTGCACAGACTCAAGCTGTTGTACAGTCTAGTAAGTCAAATCTTTCTTTTTTAATGATGACACAGGGTTTTATACTAAAGACTGAATTTCATCTCAGAATATTTTAAAGTTACAGTATAAGTTTTTATGTTACTTTAATGATTTCTTTTCCTTCAGTATTAAACTGTCATAAAATAATTCTTACTTTGGACCCAAAAAGAAAATGGACTATTATCTTTCAGGGTGGAGACTATCCCCTAATAAGGACTGAAAAGTCTTGTTTTAAATACTACTTTCTGAGTGTGCTGAGTAGCTTAAGCCTTTTCATGTTATGGCATATACTTTTTTTGAGGGGTGGGCAGGGTAGGGTCTTGCTGTGTAGCCAGGTCTGTCTTTGAGCTTTCTGTATAGTCCCCAGCTGACCTTACACTCAGGATACTCCTGCTTTAGTGTTATAAGTTCTGGGATTACAGGTGTTAGACCTGGTTTATATATACTAATTAAAAAATTGTTTTTGAATTGTAAGATAGGTCTGTATCATGAATACTGATATTGGGGTTCAACCTAAAAACCAGAAAAGCAAAAATAGCCAAGTCACTAAAAGTCTTACCTTTACCAAGGCTGGGTGACCACAGATTTATTCCCTCTAGTGCTGGGATTAAGGGCACCACCTGGATTTGTTTCTGCATTGATCTTGTGTAGCCTAGGGTGGCCTTGAACTCAGAGATTCATCTGACTTTACGTCTCCCAAATCCTGGGATTAAGGTTGTGTGTCACCGTTGCCTGACCTCTAGTGGCTTTAGCTTTGCCTCTGGTTGTAAATAATATGCCACTACACACATCCTCACTGTGTAGCCTTGGCTAACTTGAAACTTGTTATATAGACCAGGGTGGCCTTAAAGAAATCAACCTGCCCCTGCCTCCCGAGTGCTGGGATTAAAGACATGCACCACCACTGCCTGGCTATGAACAAGTTTTTAATAGAAACTAGGAGGTAAGATTAACTACAGCGTTTGATTTTCATTATAAACAATTTATCAGTGGTGGAAATGTAAATGCTTTGAATATTAGTTTTTAAAAGCTCCTCATGGAGTTCACCATGTGTCCCCAGTTCTACACCTAGATGAAATGGAGAGAAAGCATGCATACAGTGATGGGTGCACAGGTGACAGGTGTTCACAGCAGCATCAGTCATAGTGATTCAGAAGTCCTCTATTAATGCATCGATAAAATGTGTGCAACAGAATACTGTTTAACAGTCTAGAAGAATAAAGCATCGGTACCTGTAACATTAGAGGCGCACTTGAAAGTCACATAGTGGGGGCTGGAGAGATGGCTCAGTGGTTAAGAGCATTGCCTGCTCTTTCAAAGGCCCTGAGTTCATTCCCAGCAACCACATGGTGGCCCACAACCATCTGTAATGAGATTTAGTGCCCTCTTCTGGCCTGCCGGGATACATGCAGGCAGAACACTCTATACATAATAAATAAATCTTTAAAAAAAAATGTCACATAATGAAAGAAATCAGTATGTGTGATTCTCTGAAATGTATAAACAGAAGAGGCAGCTATTTAATGTTTGCCTGGTTCTGGGGTTCTGAATAATAGAAGAGTAAGTGGTTAGTGATTGCTAGAGATCGGAAAGCTCTTCGAGGGTTGATGAACATGTAGTTCTGCAAAAGTGCTAAAAAGTAATATATACTTACCAGTGATACATTCTTTTAAAGTATGAATTTTTTTTAACAAAAAGGCCTAGTAAGTTTTAGTAGTGTACAGGTAAAGCCTAAATATCCTGGAGCTGGCACAAGAGTAGAAAGTTTAAGAACAGGTGAACTTATCTTGAGGTTGGTTATGGTGATAATGTGTAGGGTTTAATGGAATAAGAAATTTAGAGACGAGAGAGGTGTTAAGATCACTGACTGCTCTCCCAGGGAATCCTTTCCTAGCACACACATACATAGTAGCTCGCAGCAATCTTTAACTCTAGTTCTAGGGCATCAAACACCCTCTTCTGGCTTCCACAGACTCTTGTGGTACACAGATATACATATACGCCAAACACCCATACACATAAAAATGAAGATAGAAAGAATAAGAAATATGGTTATTTTACATTACTTGGTAAATCTGGTTAGTTGGTTCTGAGGAATTTTATTGAAAATAAGTATGATGATTTCAGGATACATGTTTGGGATGGGAACTTAAAAAATTAAATATAGGGAAGATTTTGTGCTTTTTTTTTTTTAGTTGATGGCATCAGTAGTATGCTTTGGGCTCTGTTTGGTACTTTATTGTTAAAGTATTACCAGGTTAAAAGTACTGAAATTAGTTATTTTTATGTATCCTTGCCCTGTTTATACAGTGAACTGTAGTTGGACAGCTATAGTGTGTCTGACCTGTGACTACTTTATTGACTTGCTTGGGTAGAAATCTGTGACCACGTCAGATAACTGAGTTTTTATTACACACAGATGCAGTGCCCCTTTTTCTGCGACTCCTCCATTCCCCACATCAGAATGTCTGTGAACAAGCGGTGTGGGCTTTGGGAAACATTATAGGTAAGCTGAATTTGGATTTGAAAAGGCTTTAGTTGAAAATCTTAAATTAACTTTTTTTCCTACATTGGCATAGTCATTACACACTATGTTTCCTCTGAATTTCATATGAGTTGACTGTATTCATAAACATTTGTAAGGTGGTTCTTAAGTGTAAAAGGAATATATAATTTGTGTTGGTAGTGGTTAAATTTGTGTTCCCCAAATCAAAATCATGGAAAGCAGCACTTGATGTCTGACTATGGTGAGGAAACATAGAGCATCAGTGTCCCAACATGAGCCATTGCACACATTTCAGACTTTCCCATCCTGATTGTAATTTTTTTTAAATACAATTTTCATTTCTGTAGGTGATGGTCCTCAATGTAGAGATTATGTCATATCACTGGGAGTTGTCAAACCTCTTCTGTCCTTCATCAATCCCTCCATTCCCATCACCTTCCTTCGGAACGTCACATGGGTCATTGTCAATCTCTGCAGGAATAAGGACCCCCCACCGCCTATGGAGACAGTTCAGGAGGTAAATGCAGAATTGTAAAGGCGAGATGGCTTATCTCCCTGATTATGCTTTAGGTATTCATGCACAGGAAATATATAATGAGCATATACTGATTTTATTGAAAATTCTTCTGTTTTTAAGTATAACGTACCATATGTCAGAGTTAAGTGCTATACAGTAGCAAGAAGAATGCCAGTCCATTTAATGTATTTTTTCATGACTGTTTCCATGAAGAGAAAACACAAATTCAAATAAGTGGGGAGGGAGGAAGCCTTGTTTTGCTGTACTACTTTTTGGATTTAATGCTAAGAAATATGCAAATAATTTGAGTTAATTTGCATTCAGTCCATTGAATTCTGAAAAAATTGGTGTTCTTAGAAATGTGCTCTACTTTAAAATTTAGAAATCCTTTAAAACCATTATTGGCTTGACTGTTTAGAGAGTCATTGACTCTGTATCTTTATAAGCTGTGTCTTTATCTAGTGTCTATTCTTAGTGTGAGTGCCTAACAGCCATTACTCGGTGCTCTAGGTTTGTAGAAGATCTGTTAGACCCAGGGGTCAGCAAACAAACCCTATACCTTGCACTGGTTGTGATTGTTTTTGTTTTTGTTTCTTGAGACAGGGTTTCTCTGTGTAACAGTCCTAGCTCTTGTAGACCAGGCTGGTCTCAAATTCACAGAGATCCACCTGCCTCTGCCTCCTAAGTGCTGGGATTAAAGGCGTGCGCCACCACTGCCCAGCTGGTTGTAATCTTCCTGACTAAAGTTAGTGTTTTACTAACTTTACTCCAGCATCTTATTGAATAAAAATTTAGACGATGATGACTGTGAAAGGAAATTTCTTGTAACTACAATGTATGCCTGTATGCTAACATCTCCATTCTTCTCACCTGACGTTTTATGCCATAAATAAGGTTTCTGAAAATACTTGACTTTCTTTTAAGGAGTATTAATCTTTGTTAGATTTATTTGGATCTTTTAAACATTTGAAATACGTTTTTGATTTTCAAATTGAATTTATTAAATTAGATATTCAAACAAATTTCACATTTTAAGTAGTTACTGTTTTTGTGTCATTATTTGTTTTTATAAAGACATTTCCATCAACTAGCATGACTGTTTATCTTCTTTCCTCAGATTTTGCCAGCTCTATGTGTTCTCATATACCACACGGACATAAATGTGAGTGAAGTGGTGTCACTGTGGGGTTTGTCTCTTGATGCTACCAGAAGGGTTTTCTAAAAGCAGTGCTAAAGAATAGTGGGGCAGGGGGTGGAGAATGAGAGTAAGTTTAAATCAGATTGATGTAATTTTTGTTTTTAATCTTCCAGCAAGTATGCTGATTTGTTGGTCCCTGAAGTGATTAAGAACAGCAATCTCTTTCTGTGGTTTCACTTTCCAAAGTTTTAGTCACCTGTAGTCAGTTGCAGTCTTAAAATATTAAACGAACAACTTTAGAATAATTTATTAATATATTTAAAATAATTTTGTAGTATATGCCTATCTTTGCTCTATTTTATCATTAGTTTTTGTCAATTTATTAATCTGTCTAATTTGTGAATTAAACTATCTAATATCTATGAATAAGAAAACACATACATCTCTCTATATATGTAAGTATTTCTGTGCTGTGTTGTAGCACAGTAGGCATCCATGTGGGTATTATAGCTTGTCCCCACGGGGGTCTGCTGTAGTGAACTTTTTTTTTTAAAGATTTATTTATTTATTATGTATACAACATTCCTGCAATGTATGTTTGTATGCCAGAAGAGGGCACCAGATCTCATTATAGATGGTTGTGAGCCACCATGTGGTTGCTGGGAATTGAACTCAGGACCTCTGGAAGAGCAATCAGTGCTCTTAACCTCTGAGCCATCTCTCCAGCCCCTGCTGTAGTGAATTTTAAAGCACAATTAGGTTGTCGGATGCTGCTAGTTCATTTCCCGACTGCCCTGACTCGAAATAATCACACAGAAACTATATTATTTGCAATACTGTTTGGCCAATAGCTTAAGCATATTTCTGGCTAATTCTTCTATCTTAAAATAACCCATATCTCTTCTTTTGTATTTTACCATGAGGCTTGTGACCTACTAGCAAGGTTCCAGTCGGTGGTTCTTTCTCTTCTGGCTGTTCCATGGCTTCTCACTGACTTCTCCTTCTCTCTCTCTCCATATCTCTTTTAGCCTTGCTATCTTCTGCTAAGTCATTGGCTGAAAGCAGCTTCTTTATTAATCAGTAAAAGCAGCACATATACAGAAGAACTTCCCACACCACAACTATCTATAAAATGGTAAATTTTTTTTTAAACTTTTTTTTTTATTTTATTTAACTTTATTATGTTCGTTGGTGTGAAGGTGTCAGATCTCATGGAACTGCATTTTCAGACAGTTGTGAGCTGCCATGTGGGTGCTGGGAATCGAACCCGGGTCCTCTGGAAGAGCAGTCAGTGCTCTTAACCGCTGAGCCATCTCTCCAGCCCCAATGGTAAAAATTTTATGGTAAAAATTTTATGAACCATTATGGTCATAATAAATAATTGCCATGACAGAATTAAAGCTAGGTCCATGATCTATACCATGATCTCACAAACACACAACATGGGGAAGGCGGCCGGAACACCGGGCGGCGGCCGGCGGCCGGAACACCGGGCGGCGGCCGGCGGCCGGAACACCGGGCGGCGGCCGGCGGCCGGAACACCGGGCGGCGGCCGGCGGCCGGAACACCGGGCGGCGGCCGGCGGCCGGAACACCGGGCGGCGGCCGGCGGCCGGAACACCGGGCGGCGGCCGGCGGCCGGAACACCGGGCGGCGGCCGGCGGCCGGAACACCGGGCGGCGGCCGGCGGCCGGAACACCGGGCGGCGGCCGGCGGCCGGAACACCGGGCGGCGGCCGGCGGCCGGAACACCGGGCGGCGGCCGGCGGCCGGAACACCGGGCGGCGGCCGGCGGCCGGAACACCGGGCGGCGGCCGGCGGCCGGAACACCGGGCGGCGGCCGGCGGCCGGAACACCGGGCGGCGGCCGGCGGCCGGAACACCGGGCGGCGGCCGGCGGCCGGAACACCGGGCGGCGGCCGGCGGCCGGAACACCGGGCGGCGGCCGGCGGCCGGAACACCGGGCGGCGGCCGGCGGCCGGAACACCGGGCGGCGGCCGGCGGCCGGAACACCGGGCGGCGGCCGGCGGCCGGAACACCGGGCGGCGGCCGGCGGCCGGAACACCGGGCGGCGGCCGGCGGCCGGAACACCGGGCGGCGGCCGGCGGCCGGAACACCGGGCGGCGGCCGGCGGCCGGAACACCGGGCGGCGGCCGGCGGCCGGAACACCGGGCGGCGGCCGGCGGCCGGAACACCGGGCGGCGGCCGGCGGCCGGAACACCGGGCGGCGGCCGGCGGCCGGAACACCGGGCGGCGGCCGGCGGCCGGAACACCGGGCGGCGGCCGGCGGCCGGAACACCGGGCGGCGGCCGGCGGCCGGAGGACGCCCAGCACAGCCGGCAGGGACCAACTGGGACAGGCTGGAACCGGCTGGGACCAGAGCGGCAGCAGAGGACACAGGCTGCAGGGAACGCGCGAAACACCAAGAACAGATCGCCCCACTACAATTAAACCAAAGAGGTAGGCATTCGGTTGGGGAGGTCCCTGGCAGAGGAGGAGCCCGGTCCTATTCTGAAGACCCTTCTGAGGGGTGAGAGGGATCTTGCCCCCCCCCTTCCGCAGGAACCAGGAAACAGAGCAAGGGCATTTTGTAAGAGGAGCCCCTGGCCAGCAGGGAAACCTGAACCAGTTTTAACAGACCCCTTAGATAGCATCGATAGGAGGAGATGGGCAGGCGTCAAGGAAAGAATTCACCCAATAATCTGAAAATCAGCATGAAAACACCAGAACCCAATGATCTTACAACAGAAAGTCTCCAACACCCTAACACAGATGAAGTGGAAAAAATTGACTTTTTGAAAGCAGTAGAGTCCCTTAAACAACATGTGAAAAATGCCCTTATAGAAATGGATGAGAAGTATAACCAAAAATTTGAAGAAATGAGTAAATATGTACATAATACCCTGGGAAACCAAGAAACAACGATCAAACAGGTAATGGAAACAGTTCAAGAATTGAAAACTGAAATGGAAGCAAGGAAGAAAACACAAACTGAGGACCAGCTGGATATGGAAAATCTAGGTCAACGAGCACAGCCTACGGAAACAAGCATAATCAATAGAATACAAGAAATAGAAGAAAGAATCTCAGATTCTGAGGACACCATAGAGAAAATAAACACTCTGATCAAAGAAAACTGCAAAGCCAACAAATTCTCATCACAAAACATTCAGGAATTATGGGACACAATAAAAAGACCAAATATAAGAATAATAGGAATAGAAGAAGGAGAAGAGTCACAGCTCAAAGGCCCAGAAAATATTTTGAACAAAATTATGGAAGAAAACTTTCCCAACTTAAAGAAAGATATTCCTTTGAATATTCAAGAAGCATACAGAACACCAAACAGACTGGATCAAAGGAAAACATCCCCTCGCCATATAATAATCAAAACACAAAATATACAGGTTAAAGAAAGAATACTAAGAGCTGCAAAGGAAAAAGGCCAAGTAACTTATAAAGGTAAACCGATCAGACTTACACCTGATTTCTCTATGGAAACAATGAAAGCCAGAAGGTCCTGGATAGAAGTACTACAGAAGCTAAGAGACCATGGATGGAAGCCCAGACTACTATACCCAGCCAAGCTTTCGTTCACTATAAATGGAGAAACCAAGACATTCCAGGATAAGAACAAATTTAAGCAATACGTAGCCACGAATCCAGCCCTACAGAAAGTAATAGAAGGAAAACCGCAACCCAAGGAATCCAACATTGCCAACACTGCCTACAATAACTCAGGCATCTAGCGACCCTTCACTAGCACAACTCAAAGAAGGGAGACACACAAATTCTACTTCCAAAAACAACAAGAATATCCGGCATGAACAACCACTGGTCATTAATATCACTTAATATTAATGGTCTCAACTCACCTATAAAAAGGCACAGGCTAAGAGATTGGATACGAAAACAGGATCCAACATTCTGCTGTTTGCAAGAAACACATCTCAACCACAAAGACAGGCATCTACTCAGAGTAAAGGGTTGGGAAAAGGTCTTTCAAGCAAATGGTCCTAAGAAAAAAGCAGGTGTGGCCATATTAATTTCTAACAAAACTGACTTCAAACTAAAATCAATCAGAAGAGATCAAGATGGACACTTTATACTCATAACAGGAACAATTTGTCAGGATGATGTCTCAATCCTGAATATTTATGCCCCTAATATAAAAGCACCCATGTATGTAAAAGAAATATTACTAAAACTCAAGGCAGATATCAAACCACACACACTAGTAGTAGGAGACTTCAATACACCTCTCTCAGCAATGGACAGGTCAATCAGACAGAAACCTAATAGAGAAGTAAGAGAACTACTGGAGGTAATGAAGCAAATGGACTTAACAGACATCTATAGAACATTCCACCCAAATAGGAAAGAATATACCTTCTTCTCTGCAGCCCATGGAACCTTCTCGAAAATTGACCACATACTCGGAAACAGAGGAAACCTCCACAGATACAAAAAAATATCAGTGTCCACCTGCGTCTTATCAGATCACCACGGATTAAAGTTAGAATTCAACAACAATCCTACCTCCAGAAAGCCGACAAACTCATGGAAACTGAACTGTCAACTACTGAACCACACCTGGGTTAAGGAAGAAATCAAGAAGGAAATTAAAGTCTTCCTGGAATTCAATGAAAATAGAGAAACAACATACTCAAACCTATGGGACACTATGAAAGCAGTGCTAAGAGGAAAGTTCATAGCACTAAGTGCCCACCTAAAGAAAACAGAGAAAGCATACATCGGAGACTTAACAGCACACCTGAAAGCTTTAGAAAAAAAAGAAGCAGACACGCCCAGGAGGAGCAGAAGACTGGAAATAATCAAACTGAGGGCGGAAATCAACAAAATAGAAACGCAGAAAACAGTCCAAAGAATCAATGAAACAAAAAGTTGGTTCTTGGAGAAAATCAACAAGATCGACAAACCCCTATCCAAACTAATTAAACGACAGAGAGAGAACACGCAAATAAATAAGATCAGAAATGAAAAGGGGGACATAACCACAGACACAG